ATATATATATATATCTAAGACCGTAATGGTTTTACATTGATCATTTTCTTGAATTTTTTCTGACTTGGGAAGTTAAAATATTTCATGAAATTACGACACCTAAGAGTGTGTGGTGGAAATGAAGGGTTAACCACAAAATTCCAAGATGATAGACATATTTTATTGGAATTTTACAATCATCCTATGAGATCCGTAGAGTCATACAGAATGTCATGAGAATTTTAAAAGCTTCAACTTTATAGATTTTAGGTTTTTTTTTACCTACAGATAGACATAAGGAGTATCTTGTTTCCAATTAATAATAATCATGCAGGAAAAATATTTAGAAAAATCACGATTGCCACGATCCCCAAATCACAGAAGCACGAGACTCATCTATCTTGAAGGAACTCACGAATTTTTCCCTTCTGATTTCTTCTTTCATTTACTGCCAAATATTCTATTTTGCTAGGACCTTAAGATTTAAAAACTTTTTTTTAATAATCGTCAAGTTAGGATTCCAAGATGATAGACATATTTTATTGGAATTTTATGATCAGGTAAAGTCATACAGAATGTCATGAGAATTTAAAAAACTTCAACTTTATAGATTTTAGGTTTTTTTTTTACCTACAGATAGGCATAAGGAGTACCTTGTTTCCAATTGACAATAATCACGCAGGAAAAATATTTTGGAAAATAATGATTGCCACGATCCCCAAATCACAGAAGCACGAGACTCATCTATCTTGAAGGAACTCACGAATTTTTCCCTCCTGATTTCTTCTTTCATTTACTGCCAAATACTCTGTTTTGCTAGGACCTTAAGACTTAAAAACCTTTTTTTAATAATCGTCAAGTTAGTTTAACTGAATTAGTAAACTAGAGTTTTTTCTGTGAAAGCAAATATTACACTTTTCCCAACATCTATCAGGTTTAATAGACATACGCATGTACGTGTGTGTGTGTGTATATGTATATATATATGTATGTATGTATGTATATATGTATGTATGTATGTATGTATAACATGTAAACTTTTCTTATATTTATAATATTTCAGTTCTATAAAATTATGCTTTAAAAGTTGGTCAACTTCCTCTTGTGAGCACCTGCATCTGCTTACAATGTGTTTATTGAAATATTTGATGCATATGTAGCATAATGAACCCTCTACAGTCATGTTTAATTAATTTGACTTATTTTTGTTAAGTAAATGCGGCAACTTCAAGAATATTGGAAATTATAATTAAAAGAATTTAATCTGATTCACTACTCTGAGAGGAGGTCCACATTGATGTAGGAGGAGTGGTCACGCTTTAAAATACTTGGTCCCAACATGTATTTCCTCATGACACCTGTGTTAGCATGTGAAAATAAGGAGTGATTGATATGCCACTAAATAATCACATGTGCAGGCATGAATCTAAATGAATTTTGAATGAAAATTTTACTAGTCAAATTTAAAAATATTTGAACTCTGATTTCAATAAATGGCATGAATCTAAATGAATTTTGAATGAAAATTTTAGTGAACTCTGATTTCAAAAAAAATTTCAATAAATTTATAATTAAACTTAACATTCCCATAATACAAACCAATTGACAGTAAAATTGAATCAATCTGAGTTCAAACAAGCCAAGATTAAATACTTGAATAATAATTTAAAACTTTAAAGCATTGATTGAAAAGTATGATGATAAATGAATTTGAAATATTTATAACTAAAAATGAGCGGCTTAACGAGCGAAATTTAAAGAGTCAAGATCATTCGATTCTAAAATCATGAAATTACCTAAATGTGATTGTCAACCCCTACTAGCAGCTATTATAGCCCAACTACGACTAACATAACCTAGTTACTACCATATTACTATTTTAACAATATTACCTTATCTAAGCTATTGTTGCATGATAATTATAATGTATCAATAAGTATTTGCAATCATATAACCTTATTCTTTTTAGTTAAAAAGAATCGTATACTTTTATAACTTTATTATAAGATGGATTAATTTTCCTAGATAATGCCTTGCGATTTTTGTCCATTTTAAGGTTTTCATGTATAAAACATACATCACCTATCATTTCTATATTTGTGTTTGTGATACTTCTATTGATTTAAGCTTTATTCTTTTCTCTATCATTATGAATTATCTAGCACACAATAAGTTTAAATATATTTAATTATAACGAACACGTGTTATAAACAATTTTCCTTCATTAAATTAAAAAAAAGGTTAATACAAATCAATTTAACTGTATATATTGTAAATATCATAACTATAAGGACGTCTGCAAGTTAAAAGCTGGATAAAAATGAACATATTAACCATGTTCTTATAAATAATAGTGGCTTGACCTTAAGGAAACATATAAGATGTGACTAAAAGTTTAAGGTCACCGTAATAGATGGTCAGGATAATCCTCCAATTCAAAGTGAAGGTTACACAACCTTAAAGTAATAGGTGCAACCATATAGGATGATCGTGACCATAATAATATGGACAATCCTCATTTTGGAGGTAGATGCAACATGATCTAAAAGTTGCATATGAGTTGACGTAGGAGGGTCAAGGATACTACTAAAAGATTATTAACTTAGTCATCTCTTGAGGGCAAAGATAGCAAACCTAGATGTAATGATAACACAATGTTGGGAGCTTACAAAAAACCTTGGAGATGAATAAACTAGTTCACCTTTAGAAGTGGAGACTGCTTCTCCTTTAGAAGTGGAGAAAACATGACTAAAAGTGAGTGTGGAGTATCATATGCAAACTATAATGGCTAGACAAGATGGAAGAACTTTTCATTCTTGCAAGGTGGATATGGCATACTCTTAAGGTGCATGGGGAAGATGGTTATTCAGAATTTCGTGCAATTATTAAGGATGTCTAAGATGGTCATCTAATTTGTGGTTAAAGAAGACACAAGGTGAGAAGTTGGCATTTGAATGTCATGGAGGCTATCAAAGAAGGCAGATCAATCATGCCCTTAAAGTGGAGATGATAAAACCCAAAGACAGCTTATATAGTGGTGCAAGAAATTTTGGCACCATGATGACTTAGGATGGTAGTCACTGCCGCTTTCATAAAAGATGAAGGATAAAACGACCTGCAGTCAGTTGACCACTGAGAATCATCTGAAATGTTGTTCACCTAGACAAAAGGAATGAATTGGATGTCTTGGAGTGATGGGAAATTAAAGATATTCAAGCATCTCTTATTTAGAATAAAAGAAGGAGGAGTAGATGACATAAAGTTAAAAAGCAATTAAATGTATTTAAAATCATCCCTTCTTAAATAAATAGAGATGAATTGAATGATTTGGATGAGGCTTGAGTAATTGAGTAATCTTCCTCTTATATTTATGAATGATGAATTGGATGATTTGGAGTAAAAAAAAAAACTCAATAAAGTCCTGTTAAATTTGTACCAAAAAAATAATGTGTAATAAATTACCTAAAGTTGATGGGCAGCTTTAGGCAATTAAATATAATCAAATTGCTCTTATTTAGAATAAAAAAAGTGATGAAGATGTCATAAAGTTAACAAGCAATTAAATGTGATTAAAACCATACCCCCTAAATATATAAAGATGAATTGAATGATTTAGAAAAGGTTTGAATAATCTTCAACTTATATTTATGAGTGATTAATTGGATGATTAGGAATAAAAAAAAAAAACTTAATTCAATCATGTTAACCCTTGTAAAAAAACAGATAATGTGTAATAAATTACCTAAAATTTATGGCAATAGAAGGCATTGAAAAAAACATAATACTAAAATTTAGTGAGGATTGAAGCACTACTACAAAGAAAAAACTAACATTATTATCATTGTAATTGATGAAGATTATCAACAACAAAATGCTTTCAAAAGTAAAAATCATTAAGATGGTCTAATATAGATTGATCAACAAATTATCGTCTTTATTTAACCCATTTCAAATTAGCACAAAGGATAATTTTTTTCATAACGACTTAATATGAACCCATGATAATACATGCCTGAAATTTTTATTGCAGGCATCCACAAGTTGAATTATTTCTACTTAAATCATGTCTAATCATATTAACCATACATGGATGTTACTGAAATCATAAATTAAAATATTTTATAAACTTAATCCATTTTACCACAAGTTTTATTTTCTTTTAGATAAAAATTTACTTCAACTCTTGTAATCATTGAAAGTCTCATAATAAATACTAAGTAAAAAGATAATATTGTCCAATATTCAACATAAAATTAATTATGACTAATATTAATTATGAGAGAGATAATTTTTATCATGCACCTTGAACTGCTCAAAATCATAAGCAATTGCTTTACCATGTAAAGCATCAACAGAACTCAAAGGCCTAACATTATTCAAAGAAAATAATAGGAGTATGAGCTAACACTAAGTAATATTTGAGCTTTTAAAAATTTTTCTCTTTAGAGTTAGAATGCACAAGTGTAATACAATTTTATTTTAATATAATCAAAATTACATTAATACTAAATAAAGCTAAAAAAATTCTTTTATACTATTTGGCTAGGATAAAAAAATATTGTGCATCAAAACTATGCCAACATTAAACTTAAATAGATCCAACGGTCCAGAAGGGAGTAGTACAACAAAGATTGGCCCACTGCCAGAAGATCATAAGGCTCACTTGACCAACCAAATGAATTTGTTTAAGACAAGCTAGCAAGGCTAAAATAGACCATGCTACGAGGTGAACAAGTAGATGACCAAATGATCAAGTTCTTTTTCTCTTTAGAGTTAGAATGCACAAGTGTAATAAAATTTTATTTTAATATAATCAAAAGTACATTAATACTAAATAAAGCTTC